TCCCAAACAAAACTATAAAATATCATTCTATTATATGATTATAGATAATGCAGTAAATGCAATACAGGAAAGATTTAATCAAATGCAAGAGTATTGTGCTTTATTTGGGTTTCTTTACGATATTCTTAACTTAAAGGATAAAAACGAAGCTGATATTCTTATGCAATGCAAAAAGTTTGAAAGTGCCTTAACGCATAATTCCTGTAAAGACATTGATGGAGAAGACTTATGCTGGGAACTTCAAAGTGTGTCTCGAAGACTTCCAAAAGTAATGGGCCCATCTGAAGTTCTTCTTTTCATTTTAAGGCATGATCTCCAGAATAGCGTTCCTAATATTTACGTCGCGTTAAGGATTTTATTAACTCTCCCTGTTTCTGTAGCAAGTGGAGAGCGCAGTTTTTCTAGATTGAAATTAATTAAAACGTACTTGCGCTCAACGATGACTGAAGAAAGATTAGTTGGATTAGCGACAATATCAATAGAGCAAGAACTGGCTTACAATCTGGACCTCTGTGAATTAATTTCATTATTTGCACAAGAGAAAGCACGCAAAGTAGCATTTTAATATTGTGACCTGCCTTCAAAGGGAAATGTGCGGCATCTACAATGTTATGACGTAAATGTTAATATTGTTGGAAGTAACGATACGATTATGTTTTAGTATTAATAAAATATTAGACAATGTTATTCTTTATAAAGAGTTTTTAAATTTCTTTTCCTATTCATATTTTACCTATTCATTTATGCTATTAGTTCATTAAATTGGACTACATAGAAAATGATTCTGTATTCTGTGTTGTATATTGTACAAATCAAAGGGCGTGATAGGACAGTTTGGCTTAGGGCGTAAAAAAGCCTCGCGCCGGCCCTGATGATATGATAGATAAAACTTTCAAAACATTTGGCTTGGAGAGTTCGAACCAAGTTAAAAACAAAGATAACGACGAAATTAAAAATGTTCTTTATAGAGAACTTATAGGAAGTTTGATGTACCTTGCAGTGATCACACGACCAGATATTATGTTCTCGGTAGCTTTTCTTAGCAGATATTTAAACATGGCAACGAACCAAACATGGAAAGCACCGAAGAGAATTCTTCGATATTTAAAAGGAACCAAGGATTCAGGCCTTAATTATTATAAGTCAAATAGGACAAGCAATAGCTTGATTGCTCATACTGATTCTGATTGGGCATCTGATAAATCAGACAGAAAAAGTATCAGTGGCGGATTCTTATTTTATGGAAATAGTTTAGTGCATTGGTTTTGAAGAAAAGCTTAAGAAAACTCTAAGAAAATATTAGAGGATTTTGATATCAAAATAAATGGAATTATGTACAGACTGTCCCAATTTCGATGTCCGCATAGGCTGTCTCCTAAACTAAAAGAGATAGAAAAAAGTAGTATCGGCAAAAACTGAAAATTTTGCGAAAACGACATTCGCGATTATCTCACTTAATATCAAAGATGGAGTATTATAAATAAAACATTATATAGGCAACTTTTTACGAAGAATTCAGTGGCGAAGGTAGAATTTTTTTTCCATCTTTTATTTTCGAGATTTTAGACGTAACTTTATTTTTTTAAATGGAAACCATAGTTGGCTATAACCTAAAATAATTTGTTATTTTCTTCTGATAACAAATATATATAGTTTGTGGGGTATATTTCTTATAGTTATTGAATAATTAACAAAAATTCATTTTGTTCTATCTAAAACTAATGTATGTACTTAAAAGTTATGTTGCTATGGTGATAACCATACATACTATGATGGCACATAATGTATCAAATAATTGCTTAAGTTTGTATTTAAAAATTCGATAACAACTCTGGCATTATGTGCTGGTACGAAGCACCAGCATGTTAAGTGTCAAAGTATAACAAAACTGAATAAAACTTTACAATGAATTACGAAATTATAAAAACTGTAACATGATGGAATGCTATATGTTATCAGATAAGAATGCGACGTTAGCCGCGGTTTTATATTTCACAAGGTATCCGGAAAGAAGACAACCGCACGTACGAACCTTCAGCCGATTAGCAGAAAATTTAATAGATTTTTGGTTCTTCCCCAAACCACGTGCAAAAACATATCAAAATAATCTGCAAGACGATGAAGTAAATGTGTTGGCTTCACTTGCGATAAATCCATCAACATCTTGCAGAGAAATTGAACAAGACGTCTGACCCAAAAGCCGCTGCTCCCGAATGTGAAAGAACAATAAGTATAAACCATACAAAGCGGGACTAACTCATTTACGTGCTGTCAATTTAAGATTAAAATTTTGTAGATGATATTTAGAAGAATTAAATAATCTGCTGTTTGTTCAAAATGTCATCTGGACCGATGAAGTCTCTGAATGTTCAAAGAAGATTAGGGTTCAATGTATGGTGTGCCCTTTTAGATAATGGAATTTTGGCATATAGTATCTACCATAAAAACTTAAACTATGGAAAAAAAAGTAACTTTACCTATGGTAAGTACCTCAATATATTAAGGCAGCACATTGAGCCTGTGGTCGACAATTTGCCATTAAATATGTCTCAAATGATATATTTTCAATATGACGGCACTGGACGGCACATAATGCCAGAGTTGTTAGTGAATTTTTAAATACTGCTACAAACTTTGGCAATAATTGGAAACAATGTTTTCCATCATAGTATGGTTATCAGTGTTATCACCATAACAACAGTTAAGTTTTAAATACATACAATAGTTTCAGAAAGAACAAAAAAAGGTGATAGATTATGTTCCATCATAGTATGTATGTATGGTTATCACCATAACAACATTAACTTTTAAATACATACATTAGTTTTAGATAGAACAAAATGTTTTTTTGTTAATTATTCAATAACTATAAGAAATATACCCCACAAACTATATACAGAGTGTTCATTTCAAAACTTTCCACCTCAATTTCTGTAAATCCGGAAGTTTAAAAAGAAAATCGCTGAAATAGGAAAGAATAAAACCAAGTTGTAAAAACGAACATGGTAAATTAATTTTATAAATTAATAATAAAAGATTACTTATTCTTCCTTTTAAGAAGGTGATTAAAGTTTTTAATATTAATTAAAGCGGGAAATTTCGAAAACGAATCGATCAATTTAAAAAACATAAATACTAACATGTAGTACCTTAAAAGACCTTTAAAATGAGGTATCACTTGACACCCCTTTCCATTTAAGATTTTTAAGGGGTTGGTTTCTGGCGGCGGGGGGTTGAAGTGAGTGAGTCAATTTTTGCATAAAAAGTTGTCCCCCTTGGTTTTATTTTTTACCTATTTCAGCGATTTTCTTTTTAAACTTCCGGATTTACAGAAATTGAGGTGGAAAGTTTTGAAATGAACACCTGTATATTTGTTATCAGAAGAAAATAACAAATTATTTTAGGTCATAGCCACCTATGATTTCCATTTAAAAAAATAAAGTTACGTCTAAAATCTCGAAAATAAAAGATGGGAAAAAAATTCTACCTACGCCACTGAATTCTTCGTAAAAAGTTGCCCATATATGTTTCATTTATAAATACTCCATCGTTGATAATAAGTGAGATATTCGCGATTGTCGTTTTCGCAAAATTTTCAGTTTTTGCCGATAGGGCGAAAACAAAAGACGATAGCTGTTCGGAGTTTTCGGCATTAACATTTTCTCGAAAACGAGATCATGACATGTAAGCTACTTTTTTTGTATCTCTTTTAGTTTCGGAAATAGCCTATGCGGACATCGAAATTGGGACACCTGTACTGCGACAACAAAAGCACAATTTTTATGGCAAATTCGTTTGAAAATTCGCAGAGGTCTAAACATATTGATATCAGAAATTATTTTCTTAAAGAATTAATAAATAATAAAACTATTAACATGCAATATGTATCTACTGCTGAATGTCGCAGACATCCTAACAAAACGTCTACCAAGAAATTTATGTATTAAACATAGAACCAAAATGTTTTAATATTAACGATTACAATCGTTAGCTATAATCCATACGGTTGTAATCGAGAAAGGATGTTGAATTTTGTTCATCAGGTTAGTTGATATAAAAATATGAATGTGGTTACAGTTATTATGTACAATGTAATAAACAAATGTAATAAAGTAAAAATAACATAAAAGGTTCTTCCTCTTGTACAAGCTTAAATAAGCATAAATAATTACAACACCAAAAAGTAAAATGTGTCTCGAAACTCTGCCCAGAATTCGTAAGCTCTAGAAAACGTTGGTAGATTTAATGTGGGCAAGTCGTATCGGCGTATCAGAATTAGAATTCGAAACGTCAAATGTATTTGAAATTGAAGCTTATGTATGACGTGTTAAAATCGTTTTCGCCTTTGAAATTGCTACGCTATAACGTTTACTATAATCATCCAATTCTTGATCGATTCGTTTTTTAATTTCTTCACTGTTATCCAGAAATTCCAATTCTATCAAGTTGTCTTCGAGATCTTTTAAACAAGGTTGACATGTTTCAAGATTGGTTTACAATAAATCTACCTGATCATCCACAAAAGAATTCAGAAAAGTTTCAAAAATTTGTAGTTTTACTTTAAATTGTCAATGTGGCGCTTCGCGCCTTAATTTCTACATTTCTTGATAATTTTAAAATGTTACAGGTTTTGTTGAATATACTTGAGTCCTCAATCGCCTTTCGCGAATAACTAACATTGCGAATCTTTGTCGGATTATGGTTTCGATGTCCTAATATCCAGCTAAAAGTCCAGCTAAAAGGACCACAATGTTTTTACATAAATTATAAAACTTCAAATTGTGATTTTTATTATACAAGGCGATTGTTACGATGTTATTTTTTGTGTTGCTATGTAAAACTCTCTATAGCCACTAGAAGCGCTTTAACTAAATTATTATTAATTTGTTGTAACAGTTAGGGGAGAGCGGGGCAAGTGAGTTATGTTGAGGTAAAACAGGCCACAGTTTGTAAAGTTTTAATCATAAAACAAATTTATACCAAACAAGTTTAAATTTAATTATTAACGAACGTATCTACACAAAAAAATAAATAAAACAGGCATTTTTTATAACAAAATATTAAATTAACATTTACCAAAAGACTCACTTGCCCCCCGATAAGGGACAAGTGAGACATTATTATAAACGATTTAAATCGCTTGTATAATTTAGCGACAATTGTCGCAAATATAATTTTCTGATCCTATTTCCTTGTTGGAGCAGTTTCATGGACCCAAAAATTACATTTTATACACTTTATCCAATCTTCACCGCAGGTGTCACCATAAGTTTCATTGCAGAATATGCAGCAAACATTTTTGTCGTCTTCTGGTAATTCGCAAATGTTTACCAACTTCTTAGTCTTTTGTGTGATGTACTGGATGCACTTTTTTTCTTCCTGCTTTATTGCTCTTTTTCTTTTCAGATTTTTCTTCAATTTTACTATTTTTTTACTGATTTTGCTTTGAAAATTTTCAATTTGATTGACGAGCTAGTAATTATTTGGGATCTTTCTACACGTCGTTTCTTCCTTTGCATATTTTTGTTTTTTGGCTTGAGGAATAGGCGAAACGTATGAAACTGGAACATAACTACACGATGGTTTCTGGTCTTTGTGACTGATTGATGACTCATGTATTGGAGATTCGTTTTTCTTCTGTAACATTTTAGAATCTGGGTCACCAGAAGTTGTAGAATGTTGTATGTTTTTATCGTGAAAGAGAAAAGAAGCTTTTGGGTTATTTTGCCCAAGAAGATAAACTTTTTTTTTTACAGTGATATTAAAGGCTTATTGATAAAAATGGGCTTAATTAAATATGATTCGTTTTGTTACATAACGGAAACAAATACGCCTTTATACCCAATTGAAAGAGGAATATTATAATATAATATAAATTCAATAAAAAGCAATACTTTTTCTGGCCTTTTTCAATTTATTGTCTAATCGGTTTAAAACAATACTTAAAATTTTTTTTATGTATCCATCCCATTAGTTTTATATTTTAACGTGTAAATTTTAACTTTTAACGTGAGTTTTAATGTGTTCATATTTATAATTTTAACTTGCATACCTTTGTGAAGCCGTTTATATGAACAACTAAATAGAAAATAAGTTTCTAAAATCCAATCTATATTTCTAATGTCTCTGATGATGGCGTAAGCCGAAACCGGTTAGACAATAAATTGATAAAGACCAGAAAAACTATTGCTTTTTATTGAATTTATATTATGTAAAAAATAACTGGTCAACATGGATCAAACTTCCTCATCTAAGATAATTATAATATCTCATTCATTTTGAACAAGATAAAATATCAAGACTTACGAAAGAGGTGTACACAACTAGGTGTAAACAGTCTATCACAGGATGGAAGTCCGTATGACATAACCAAGAAATCATGAAAAACCGCGGGAGTTTACCACTCAATCCAGGAGTGCCAACCAATAAAACAAAAAAAGGTTAAAAAGCAAACTGTAAACCAACGCGGCTAAGGGAATAAGGACCCTAAAACAGGATTTCGGAGATTTCACCACCACGCACCAAATCCCTCGTCGATAGTAGATGTTTGTATATAACACTGAGGTTTTGGATATTTGTTCTTGAGTTCACAGACATAACCTCATGGTTTATGGAGACCATTTCAAGAAAGAGACGCTTTTTGAATTTATTTTCTTGAAACAAGATGGAGGTATCATTGAAATCGAATCTATGGCCTGTATCAATATGATGATTAACCAACACAGATTTGTTAACCCGAAGATTTTTACAGTCAGCTTCGTGCTGATGGACTCTTTTTTTCAAATATTGTGAAGTAGTCCCCACATAGGAAGCAGTACAGGGTGGGCAAATTTGGGTATTATTATAGGCTATCTCAGAAACTATAAGAGATACGAAAAAAGTAGGTGCCATGTCCCGGTCTCTTTTTTCGAGACTAACCCAATCCCGCAAACACCAAACCTCTATCTTCTTTTGTTTTTAAGTTATAGCCAAAAAGTTAAATTTTCGTGATTTCAAAAAATGCTCATATTTCGTTTATTTTTGAAATTAGAGAAATGAGGTTGATACGTTCTTAAGACACTTTTTTAAGTAGAATATACTGCAGTTGAAAAATATTTGATGATTTTTGAGATACAAGTATTTTTTTAAATAAAAAACTATAGTAGATTATGGTGTTACTGAAAAGAGCATATTTTTAGCTTTCCAATGATGTATTGCACGCATGGTGTATTTGGGGAAAATAAGCGTTATTTTTTAATTCTAAAATATTAAAGATTAATATTCAAAATTTTAATTATAGTAGGCGAAGAAAACGTTGAATACTACTTAGTTACTACAGTAACGTGAGTTTACTGATCATTTCATTCATGAATTTTTCGAAACGACTTTCCCGCTTAAAAATTCCTCATTATCTTTAAATATATAAAGCGATATGACGATAAGGCTCCATATCCCATATAAATATCGTTTCAATGGGAAGTCCGCTGCTCAGTTTATGATCCGTAATCTTCCTCTATCTCACCCAATTTCAAAAGAAAAGGTTGCTAATATGAAAAAACTTAAATAAATTTCATGGTTGGGGAAAACTGGGAAGATACTACCGAAGATTTCATTCATTGATACCCAACTGTTCTAACCTTACAAACAGTAAGTTTAGTAGAAGAAGATGACACACTCTGTGACTGTTTAGTTCCTGAAGTTGTTGTTCATATTTAATTATTCATTAATTAATACGTTTTTTGTATTTTTAATAAACAAACTTTATCTACAAATCATTTTTTATTGGTGAACAAAGTCAGGGATAAGACACTGAGAAATTTAAATAAACTATTCAAAGTTTTTATTCGTTGGTACAAAACCAACTTTATCCTGCATAATGGTACAAGACCAACTTTCTGTCATATTCGTGCAAAACCATATAGCAATTAGGTATTAATTACTGTCCGAACCCGCCCACTATAATCAAAATTTTGAATTTTAACGCTTACTATTTTGGAATTGAAAATTAACGCTTATTTTCCGCAAATACACCATACATGCGATATATCATTGGAAAGCTAAAAATATACTCTTTTCAGAAATACCATAATCAAGTAAAGTTTGTATTTAAAAAAATACAACTTTATGTTATATCTCAAAAATCATCAAATATTTTTAAAATTTTTCAACGGCAGTATATTCTACTTAAAAAAGTGTCTTAAGAACGTATCAACCCCATTTCTCTAATTTCAGAAATAAACGAAATATAAGCATTTTTTGAAATCACCAAAATTAGATTTTTTGGCTATAACTTAAAAACAAAAGACGATAGAGGTTTGGTGTTTGCGGGATTGGCTTAGTCTCGAAAAAAGAGACCGGGACATGGCACCTTATTTTTTCGTATCTCTTATAGTTTCTGAGATAGCCTATAATAACACCCAAATTTGCCCACCCTGTACATACACCACAGGGAATTCTATAGATGACATTTGATTTAAGATCTATGAGGGTGGGATCCTTCAGGTTGGAGACCTCTAAGGTACCACCTTAGTGGTCCATAATTAAGTTTCGCTATCTTTACATGGTCAGTATGAAGCAATTTGGTCAACCTAGGGGTAAGTTGAGGAATAAAAGGTAGAAGTGAGAAGCTGGGTCTTTCATTAGTTACATGGGGACTCGTTAGGGATGTGTCCAATCTCCTGGGAGATAATATAAAAGTCTGTTTACTAGTGGACTGGGAAAGCCGTTGTTACGGAACATATTTGAGAGCAATTGAAGGTTTTTTCCACAAAACGGGGGTGACAAATCTTCTTGATTCTATCCCTCATGGCAACAACCGTATTCATTTTTTGGTGAAACGCGTGATTAGAATAAAAGTTAATATATCTTCCCGTGTGTTGTTTTTTTCTGTACTAATCAGAACAGAGATCGACCCATCATCATCATTAAAAGATTAAAGCAGGTTTAATTGGGGGCATATTTAATGGCCCCCAAATTAGAGAGTTTACAAAAGATAGCAATTTTACAGCTTCAATGACTGTACTTGAATTGAATGTAATGCAAAACTTCCTCGGAAAACACAAATCGGAAAATTATCTTGAACTGGTAGAATAGCTTACGGTTACATTTGAAGAATTTAGGATGTAATATGAAACATCCTGAACATCCGGAACACACAACTCTGTTTTCTCCATAGTCATCTGAACCGATTTCCTGTAAAAATAGAGATTTAAATAAAGAACAGAGAGAACGTATGCATCAAAACATGCGCGTTATGGAGGAGCGATATCAAGGTTTTTTTATTGCTGGTCCCTGATGCGACATTTACAATCCACACACAATAGGAAATCTTCAAAGCGAAGTTTCTTGGAAGCAAATAAATGTTTCAATTCCAAATTTTTCTTGGAATAAATTTTTATTTATTGTCTTTTCTTTGAGTAAATACATATATTTTTTAAAGACGACTTGCCTGTATCTCGAGAACTAGAACTGATATAATGAATTTATTTACATTTTCGGAATCAGCGTGCTAAAATTAGTCGGACACAGCAAAAAGTTCTAAGGCAACAGATGTAGTGTAAACTAGTGTTATAGATGGTTTCCAGTATCCTCATCATTCTGCCTGTTCTGGCATCTTCAATTCTGATTTATTTTTAGCTTATTTTATGTCATCATCTTTCAGGTTTTTATTAGCTTCTTCTGTGTTGATTTAATTGTTTGTGGCTCCTGTTTTATTCTTCCTGATTCTTCTTAACTTTTTATGATACCTTCTTCTAAATTATTTCCAGCATCCTTTTTGCTGATTTCGTTTGGACGTCGTTTCTCTATTTTCCCGTTATTTTTCTAGTTTCTATTACGCCTCTTTTACGTTTCAATCGTAGTTTTGGCTTTTTTCTTTCTTGCTTCCTTCCTTTTTAGCTATTAGAAAAATCTATAATATGTAGTAAAAGTATACTACATATTATAGTAACAATTTTTTATGCAAAATATTTCGGCTATTAAAAAAGTTACATTTGAAGCATTTCTTGAGATTTTAATCATATGAAAATTCAAAAGAATGCAACTAGAAGTAACATTCTAGAAATAGATATTTCTGCAACAAAATAGAGCGCGAATAATTTTCAAAAAGAATTCCTTCGAGAATTTTTGTATTTCACATCACATATTATACCTTTTATATGATTTTATTGACTGTACTTTAAGAATACGATAGCAATTCGACGCTCACGAGTCCTTTTATAGAAATTGCGATATTACCATAAACAATTTTATATATTTTTCTCATTGGCGACCTGTTTGCTTTTATATTTCTCGCTTAACAAGCAGCGAAACGATTCGACCTACTTTTCTTTCAAACACGAAACTACCCCTCATTATTAATTAATGACTTAATTAAGAGATCAAATTATGTAGTTTTTAAAGCATCTTGACAAAATGAAGTCATCTAAGAAAGAGTTATTTGTAATTAAAAAAAAATTAATTAAACTTTGTTATTGTTTTCATTTTAATTCTTGGTTTTTTAATAGTGTACGTGTTTGTGGGAGAACACATCGCTTTAATAGACTTCGTAAAATGTCTACAAAAACGGAAACTATTAGAAACAGGAGATTACGTCGTCGTTTCCGTTGATGATGAGATTTACGATCCCAATCGACGTATAAACATCATAAAAAGGGGTAAGTAAGAAAAGCACATTTTCTTAGGTGTTGTTCAAAGCGTAATCATTATGTATTTCCTTTTAGTCGTAAAAATATACATAAAAATGTCCTTTGACCTTAATAAAACCGTACTTTTTTATATCCCTGGAATCCAATATTTTATTAATGAACATCATCTTCCATTACCTTTCACCTTCACCTTTTCCTTTTTCGTCTTTCATTTTCAAAAAGCTTTTCATTAATCATTAATAAACCATTTTGTTCATAAATTTGTAATGCTAAAGTTAAACTCTAATTGGTGCCTGATTATGTGGAAACTACTTAGCTTAATAACAAATATTTTTCACATAAAGTACAAAGAGGAACTTCTTTACTGTATTAATAGAAATGGTAAAAAAACTAGTTATTTATATGTTCCTCACGAAATACTACAATAACTAAATCAAGACACAATTCATCTTTTTACAAACCTATCTAATGCTGTGTTCACAGAACTCGAAATTCAATTGCTCAATAAAGGATATAAATTTGACCCCTATTCTAAAAACGAATCAAAGAAAAATTGTATCACTTTTGTACCACGTTTAAATTTGTGGAATTTAAGAAATGATTTTCAACTCATTAAAAAATATCATTTAAATTTCCTTTGAAATGGTTTTCACTTAATGATGAAATCTCAACTTGTTCTTCAGATACCGTGTTGTAAATCGCATTTTTATCAACTTAACCCAAATAGCACTTTAAAAGTTAAATTGATAGAAATCTCCTCCAGATTGTAAGAAAGTGAGCAGTTCAGTCACTGCACATTGGATTTAACAACATTATCGATCCAATTTCCGGAACAGGATCATTATAAAGACAAAAAAATCTTATTATTCCGTAATTTGTTGTAATATGACGACATTGCTCAATATGAGAAACTGTAATTTGAGTTCCCAGATTGGTTGTTACGGCTATCGATTTTTACAATTTAAATACTATGTCGTGTTCGTTCTTTTTCCATTCTCCATTTCCCGTTGTTTTTCTTTTTTGAAAAGAGATTTTACATTTAACAGTTTACGTCGGTATTATTTAAAAATAAAAGGTACCTATCTAAAATCCTCCACGTTTATGTCGGGACAGGGCTTAATGAAGCTTAACCAGGGCTTTCGCTTTCGTAGATTATGTTCGGAAAGTTGCGAATTAGCCCGATAAAAATGAAAAATAAATAAAGAGAATTGAACAATTATTCGTACGAAATGAAAAATTGAAAATGTCTAATAATAAAATGAGTTGAGCAGGAAAGAAAAATAAATTAGGGTCAATATCAAAACATACTAACTAGGCTAGAAACAAAAAGGCACTGACTTGATTGAATCGTTGAGAAGTTGGTGAAATAATTCTACTAGAACTTATCATGTTATTATTCAATATAATATAGACATTATAAATGTAAAATCGAGAGAATTAACTAATTATGTTCCAGCTTAAGGATGTGAAACTATCTGTACAGGCAAACTAGGCAACTAGGCAATTATATGCAAATCGAAGACAATCTTGGATTAACTTTAAGTAAACACATTATCTCAAAATCGAGTAATCTTTTCCTGGTCACACGACAATACAAAAGTGCACAATTTTAACTAAGAACATCTGAGGAGCTTTTTTACAAAACGAAACATGTGAGAGAAGTGTCTGATAGCATCGATAGCAAACGGTAACGTATTAAAGGGAAAACAAGGTTAGAAAACAAGAAAGCAAGGCAAATCTTATTGCTAATCCCTTTTTGTACTTTTTGATTGTGGACTTAATTTAAGGTACGAACCAAAAGACCTATTAAGATACTAACTCCGCTAGGTGGATTTACAAAAAGTGTGTACATCCCAATAACAAGAAATTTCAATGTAGAGGTGAGGGGGGCACATTGGGACGTTTGAAACATTTTCCAATGTGAAGTCTTTATTTTTGAATGAAATAACTTTATTTCTAGACAACACATGAATTAGGGCATTGGCTTTGGGATGCAACGTCTATAAAAGGTAATTCGCTCATACAAATTTAAATGTTTATTTTTCAAAAACTTCATGCAAATGTCTCAATGTGCCCCTACTGTGGGGCAGAATGGGACATCCCTGGGGCACATGTGGACACACAAGTAAACTTCATAGGTAAAACTCCCTAACAAGTGAAATTGCAATTTTTATTGTTTCCAAATACAACAAAATATCGACAGAATATTAAACATATCGTTTCAAAATATATTAAAGGAACTTAAATCTATTGGAAATTTTTTTATAGAACTTGATCGACTTGTAGTGGTATTAATTTGTTTCGGTTTTGGGAGTTTCATCTCGATTTGATGGAACTCTACCAAATCCTTGTCCACTACAGTTGGATATACAAATCCACTCCCCTTTTTTCTTAAAAAAATTTAATTGATAATCGCTATCAATAATTTTTTCTACCTCACCCACATAAAATCTGACTGTTTTCTTTGTACAATACTTTGCTAGTACAAAGTCTCCAACTAATATGTTTGGTAACGTGGTTTCAGGGTCTAATAGAGGTAAAATCTGCTGCATAAATTCGTCATCTGATGCTTCTTTGCTAAATTCACTAATATTGTCTGACTCATTATTGTCATAAATCACAAGATCATCCGCTACATCACTTCCACATTCTTTCTTTTACTTGACTTCTGGGTATGTTTTACTTCATCAAACAATTTTTTCTTTCCTTTGCTTTTGTCTATTATTTTTTGTTCAAGACAGTTTTTCTCCGGGGTTTCTGTAAGGATTTTAGATTTTCCTGGTTGTCTCCCTTTCTTCGTCGAATTTTTCCTTTGTGCCTTAGGAAACGGTCGGACACTTTCAGAAGTGATTACCCCTTCTATCAAGCTAGAGGGGCTGCTTGTTGACGGCGTATTCGTTGAAGCCGAGCTAAAAACTTGTGCTGAAGTGCTGTCTTCGTATTGTTTCTTTCCATTTCTTGATGGGGTGTATTTGCACGAACTTCTTGAACTGTTAAGGATGCGTTGTCAGTAACATATGCAGCCGCAAAATCATCTCCCGAAAAAATATTTCTGTTATATGGCACTATGCCACATTTTCTAAATCCAGAGCAAATATTATCCAAAGTAAATGCTTTATAATAGGCTTGACCGGTTAATTCTGCGATTTCGTAAATGGACACCCGTTTGCCGGGATGGGAAATAAGCCAATCGTTAAAAACAGATTTCAAGTAACTTTTAAAGGGTCCATATAGACACACATCGAGAGGTTGGAGACGATGTGTACAATGGGGTGGAAATGTTACAAAGATTATACCATTGTCCCTACAAAAAACTATTGTCTCCAAACTGGTGTGCGATTCGTGATTATCTAGTAATATGAGGATGCGATTTTCTTTGGAACATTTTGTAAATTTTTGAATGTGTTTCACCACTTCTAAAAATAAAGATGCCGTCATCCAACCGGATCCTGACTTGTTGGATAATCCTAGGCTACCATTAGGCGCACTTTTCATAAATACCGGCTTGTTTTTAGCCCTTGGAAAGACATACACCAGTGGTACTGTATTTCCGACGGCATTAATGATAACACAAAAGGCTACCAATTCTCCTCTCTCGGCTGAAATTACTTGCCCCACCTGCTTAGTTCCCGTCATAGCAATAACTTTTGGTGGTGCCTGAAGGACTGTGGTGACCCCTGTTTCGTCAAGATTATAGACATTTTCTGGTGTTATTTTATATTTTTCTAATACAACCTGCAGATTATCGAAAAATTGTTTCACGTTGGTTTCCTTAAATCCTGTTGCCCTGGCTAGACTGGTGTTTTCAGGTTTTCTTAAACTGAGATTGCTGAACCTTTTCATGAAAGATTTCATCCAGTCCAAACCCGCTCTCTTGTTTTTATCCCACCTCGTTGGGTATTTTCTGTTAAGTTTTTGAGCAAACAAACGCTAGTATCTGAGCTTGCGAATACGTCAGCCCGTAATTTATTTTTGAACTTTGCATTAGATACTCGCACAATTGTTGTTCCTGGTTTGCGGTAAAAACTTGTTGGGTGCTATATTTCGACTGAAATGGCCAATAAAATAGGTCGTTTGAATCACTTTCTACTGTGGCAAGATTCGTGGTCTCAGGCGGCAAGTTGTTATTTTTATTATTTTCCTCTCCTTCATCATCTTCAGTCGGTTGCGCAGCAAGAGACTCCCCTGTTTCCCCATCTCTGTTTTCTTCTGCTTTCCGCTTTTTGACTTTGTTCAACCTGTTGACTAAGGTAGATTTCTTGATATTATGTGTTGCTGCAGCATTTCTTATTGATAACCTTCCATCAATAACATCTCTAACTGCAGCAACAATGTCTTCCTCAGATATGGAAGCACGATCTGTTTTTCTCTTGTACGTACGGACCATTTTTTATGTCCTGAGTCCTGAAACATTTTTTTCCTTAATTATATCAACAAATTTTATTAGGTGGGGGCACATTGGAACAGTCTCAATGTGCCCCTTACCTTTTGTCCCAAAGTGCCCCCACTGACTGTATTGAACATAAGATCATTTGCAAAATAATAGGTTAGGTCTATACAATAAATAAAACCATGAACATAAGTCTCAATATTGTGTGTTCTTAGTGATTAATTGATTTTAAACCATTTGCTTGAAATATAGAAAATATCCACTTACCAATTTTCATGCAACTTTTTACAGCAACTACCATAAAACACTTAAAATTGAATAAAAATTTCCGCACGTCACAAAACAGCGCGAAACGTTTGGAGAATTGGAAGCCAGGTATTGCCCTCTGGTACACTTTATTAAAAGTAAAAACAGCAAGTAATTGCGCCATAATTTAAAATGTCCCATAATAATGTCCCATTGTGCCCCATGTCCCAATGTACCCCCCTTTCCCCTAATGATATTCCAAAACAAATGTTAATAAATACCAAAAAGACAGTTTATAACGATAACAATAAACTACAGTAGGATGTATGATTATCTCATTTACTAGAAGTGCATTATCCAAAGAGACATCGTGAACGCAAAAACTCCATTACCAAGAAACCTCACCACTTTCATATTAGATACAAAGTGAGAAATTATCTTGTTATGCCTATACACTAGTTTGTTTAACATTTCTAATCTTGTAAATCTGCACAAATAGACAAGCGTTCTCGGTCTGTAGAACTTTTTTTGAAAAACTTCTGGAGGTGCCCTATCAATTTTATGGATTGCAAAAAATATTAATGCTGGCACGGAGTTCAGAGAAAATAGAGGTGGAGATGGAAAAATAAAATGCTGAAGCAAAAAGAAGAGGTTATAAAATTTATAGGAAACTTTAAAAGAGTTGAAAGCCATTGAAACAGGGTAAAGTCCAAGAGATTTTACTTAAGTTCTACACTCAACATAAATAAAATGTTGAAAATGTATAGTAAAAGTGTGTACAAAATATTTTCAATTAAATTTAATTTAGGATTCACCAGCAACCGACATTTGCAGTTACTGCGAACGTCTCAAACACAAAGCATTATCAGCAAAGTGTTCAGAAGCGAAAAATAAATCATTGAGCGATTTCAAATTACATAGAGTAAGAGCTAGGCAGTTTCACTTTATGATGAAGGAGGAAGAAGAAGGTATTGCATCATTTTGTTTTGATCTATAACAAGTTCAGCAACTCCCGACACTTCCTATTCAAGATTGTTTCTATTCACTACAGATTGGAATGTATGCATTTTGTATTGTTGATTTTTATTTATTTATTTATTACATATTCGGGATGCATACGGGGAGAATATCCCCAACAAAGCATCCTCATAATAACGAAAATTAATATAAAAAAAAAATTGTAATATAAACTAAAATAAATACAACGATAAAGCGATCAACAAAACATCCGCTATACATTAGTTAGTACATATTTTCTAAAAGAGCGTAAGGAAACGTCAAAGAGAGGTACATGGTTGAAGCCTTGGTTATAGGAATTAAGAATTCGAACTAATGGAGAGCTTTGATAAAGGTTGGTGTTAGATCTATCAAGACGAAATGTAGCGTTGAAACGTGTAAGCCGTTGCGGTACATTGAAACTCAACTCAGGCAGAAGATCGGGGGTATCCAGCATGCCATTAACAAGCTTGAAGAGGAAGATCAAGTCAGCAACAATTCGACGCTGCTGCAGTGACAACAAGTTGAAGACCACGCAACGCCTATCGTAATCGCAGTAAGGAAGATGAAATTTATGTGCCAAATAACGTACAAAGCGTCGCTGAATAGCTTCAATACGACCACGATACACCGCATACATGGGGTTCCATATTACGGAACCATAACAAAGCACACTGTTGACAAATGCCAAATAAAGGGTTTTTATACACAAAAAATTCGTGAAATTCTTACTGACCTTACTGACCTTACTGATGAAATCGCAACTTGGAATCCAATATGATGCCAAGATGTTTACTTTATAAGTGGGCGGGATAGCAGCACCGTTAAAGTTGTAAGGAAAGTTAAGAAGATAACGTTTCCTAGTAAATGTAATTTTTTGGCATTTGTCATAATTTAGGTGCAGTTTGTTGAGGCGACAGTACTCATGCAGGCGGTCAAGATCCTCCTGTAGTCTAAGGCAGTCCAGATTAGACCCGATCCTTGTGAATATTTTATTATCGTCGGCATAGAGTAGAAACTTAGAAAATATAAAACACGAAGAAATATCATTTATGTACATTACGAATAGTAAGGGTACAAGATAACTGTCCTGAGGCACACCGGATGTGATAGGTTTGTAGCCAGATATAAAGCTACCAATCCTGACTGCTTGACTTCTGTTAGATAAATACGACATAATCCAGTGAACCAGACCATCTGGAATATCAAAGGAGAAAAGTTTCTGTACAAGAACAGTATGATCGATTTTGTCGAAGGCTTTGAAAAGCTCGTCACCTCACTTTTACATGTGGGTTGAACATCATTGCGGCAGAGGCTCGAATTCAACTAGTTCGGCAATTTTACATTTTTTAAATAGTAAAATTATTTAATTCATTCCGTTATGTGCAATCGCTTTGAGTAGTCGAACTACTCCTTCGGTTTCCGTACTTATATCTAGTAAAACGTATAATTTAATTCATAAAATGTGTTCTGGAAGTGATTATAACTTAAGAAACAAAGCCATTGATGAAGACAGTTTAGCTGATAAGATTTTTAATAAGATTTTGTCTTCTACTGCATTAATTGATAATATTGCGGACAGAATAAGTGAAAAAGTGGTTTTAAAACTTCAAAGTGACCTTGAGGCGGCGAATCGAGAGATTTTTACGTTGAATGAAAGGTTAGATGAAGCTATGCGGAAGTTGGATGACTTACAACAGTATACTCGGAAGGATAACTTACAAATCTACGGAATTCCTGAAGTAAATCGGGAACACACGGATGCAACAGTAGTTAACATGTGTTCGGAAAAACTAGGTATAGTTGTAAGGAATTCCGATATAAGTATTTCTCATAGATTAAAAGGGAAAGAAAACGGGTCAGCCAATTATTGTTCGTTTTTCTAACCGAAATATTCGAAATCACATTTTTAATTCTAAGAAAAAACAAAGAAATACAAAAATAGTAATTAGGGAAGATTTAACGTCTCGAAGAGCTAAGAGCTAACTTATTAAAAAAGCTTCTAAAAAGTTGGGTACAAGATCAGTATGGACGCGACATGGTAAAATCTATACCAAATACAATGATAAATACGTAGAAATTAAATCAACTGTTGATATTCATGGGAGCGGGGACACCGTTACGAGGGTAGTGACAGAACCGATTATCGTGCGCTCGTGAGAATCGAAGAGTTGTTTCGAAATTTAAGAAAGTTAAGTTTTTTTTTTGTTTGGATTTTTAGACTATTGTACAATTGATAATTAATGTATCGGAATGAATCCTTTTTCTTTTCCATGATGTTCTTTTGATTGATTTTAGTTGGATATCACAGCTCAGCTTGGCACATTTGAACGTTCGGTCGGCCTTCCCTAAGATTAATGAAATTACTCAATTATTATTTACTTTTGGTTTTGACATATTGTATCTATCGGAAACTTGGCTGCGTGGAATACTCAACGATAGAGTTGTCATTTCTGGTTATCAGGTTTTTAGAAGGGATAGATTTGATAGAGGTGGAGGGGTATGTATTTATTTACGTGATAATTTAACGTGTGATCATATTGGAGAAACTGATGTTGTTGGGTTTGAGCAAATTTGAGCAATTGTTGGAAATGCGCTTAAGGTATGATTATATTTTCTGTTTGGGCGATATTAATATTGATGTTCTTGATACTAGCAACAGTTATGTTGCAAGATTGTTGATTATGTTTCAAACACTTGATATGACTCAATTAATAGGTGAGCCTACCCGACTTACTGATAGTTCAATGAAGACTATTGATGTTATTGTGGTGTCCCATTCTTCTATTGTATTGGAATCTGGTTCTCCATCCTGAGATCTCTGATCATGGACTGGTTTTTTGTCAATTTAGCTGTGCAATGCTTAAACCATCTTCGTTTTGTTACACATACAGAGACTTCAACTCATTCAATTATGTTTCCTTCGTTGCTGAATTAAGCCTGATGCAATTTCAGGCTATTTTTGCAATGTCCATTGATGATAAATTAAAGGTTTTTAATGATCAAACATTGAATTTGTTTGACACTCATGCTTCGGTGAGGACAGTTAGAATTTCGAAACCTAGGAAACCTTGAATAACGGATAATATTAAGTTGTTACAAAATTTGAGAGATAAAGATAAAAAAAATATAAACGTAGCAAGCAAATGTCTGATTGGAAATATTATAAACAAGTTAAAAATTATACTAATTTTGCTATTGATGCTGAAAC